TTAATACTGTGTGATGATCGTGATGCGCTGGCCAGAAGCACAATTTACGGTGTGGTGGTTCCCGTAGTTCTCTTCCAACTCGCAACGAAGGTAAAGGTTTTGATACACTATGTTGTTGATTGCTACTTTAAAAGTTGTGCGCAGGTTGTTTTTCGTAAATGGGCTGAGCGTTTCTCATCGTTGTTCGACGATCATAGCCACGACCATGAGGTAATATCAAATGTTCACAGGGTCCTCTAATCTCTTTTGAATTCTTTGCTTCTAAACTGTTTCCAATATGATGTTCTATTCTTCGTCATCTTTGTGGTGGGCAGAAAGGATGTTGTAGGAAGCATTTCGTTTTTATCTTTTTTAGGTGGACACCGCTAAGCAAGAAGAAGCCACACGAGTGATTAACTTGATGCGACCTACTGCTGAGCGAATACGTCGTGAAGAACAGCAAAAACTGGGGATCGTTATTATAGACGCAAGGTTCATCCTTTCATCATGTCATACTTTACATATCAGATCATTTTAGCGATCTTTACTGCAAATCAAAAACAATTATTATTTTTTAAAGTGCGCGTAGAAATCAATTTTAAATCAAAGCCATCTCATGGTCATAGATTTGATATTCAGAGACAAGACAACAAAAGTGAAGTGGTTCAAAATAGGGCGCTCGCAGAAACTGAAACGTGGTTTTTGATGTATTATGATTGCCGAGAGAAAACTAGCAGCTCTTTTCGATAATGTTCTAAACATTAGCGGGAAAAAAACATGGATGCCAAAAAATATTCTTCAACCATTCTTTATTCACTTTATCTCTTCTTCCTTTTCTGCATACCCTCCCCTTTTAGAAGCTAGACGTTTTTTTACATAAGCTAGTAGACGGATACTTCGACATGATACAACATGCTAAGAGGCCACCACATCAGACCTTTTTTGACGGAATCACCAGATTTATGCACTTCGAGATTTTTTCTTCAATCGTTGTTTCGGGGCTGCACATATGTCAGTGTATGTTAGTGTAACTATCACTCCAATATAGGTATCTTTGAATTTCTCAAACATTTAGTTGTTTTCAAAAAAATATTTACAACACGAACAATACTCTCTAAAATTTTCGAAGTTTTTTCCCCAACTTTGTTCTTAGTTTTTTCTAGAAAAATCTGCCAAATGGAGTTGGTATAAACCTTCTGGAATTCCTTCTAGTGGATACGACTTCACATCTGTCTCTCTAGTATCTTCCTATTTATTACAAATGGAGGCGGTCTGTCTTATTCCCGCTGGTTTTTAATGATATAGGAAATTTTTTTCCCAGAAGTTTTTCTGCCAATCTTTAAAACGTAATGATTTATGAGAACGCAGCTTAGGGCTTCACACAAAAATCATTTTATTAAGCTTTTTCAAGATCAAATCCGAGTATTGTATTGCAAATGAAAACAAGATGGAAAATAATGCAGGAAGAGCAATCA